GGCGGGGAGCACGGAGCAGGCTGGGGATCGGAACTACCGGCGGCCGCGTCGCAAGGCGTCGCACTGGGTGCTCTACTCACCGCCCCCTCCCCCCGACGCCCCCCTCTCTCCATAGTGTCTGAATGGTCGGACGCCGCCGGCAGGCCAAGCAGGCCCGACCCCTGCCGAACGGAGTTGTCGGCGGAGCGAAGTGAAGCTGGCAAGTTCGTTTGGCGGAAGGGCGGGCCTGCTTGTTCTGGTTACATACTTTAGCGCATGCAGGCGTGCGGACCGGCCGGTTGCATAGTCGCACGGGGCCATAGGGCGCAGTATGGTGAGAGTCGGTAGGCGAGACCGTTTGCACGCCTGTATGCGGTACAGCATGACAAGAAAAAAAATCCGGGCTAGAACACCAACCCTGTAGATATCAAATGAAAACAATACCGAAACAGCCTAGAATAAAGATGTAATCGATATCTCTTTAAATTTTTACATTACACTCTATTGTGGGATTTGTTTTTCTTAGCACGTGACATGTTATTCGATTTCTCAGATTAAAAATTTAACGATGTTTTTACTTTTTTTTGTAAAGGATGGTGTGCTGAGTCGTGGTGACTTCTCTATTCAGGTCGGGAGGTGCGATAGGGGAGGGGGGGGAGGGAGGGGGCTGAAGTTTGAGCAGGGGTCGTGGCGGAGGAGCTTGATCATGAGGCACACGTTGGCCGGCTCCAGCACACTGGCAGCCTGCTCACGCTCCACGCACCAATCTTCCGAGCTGTTATCTCCCCATGCAGCCCCCCCCCCTCCCTCCAACCCAATCCGACCGTCCTTCCCCCTGAAACTTTTTCCCCTGCACCCCATTTCTTTCCCATTCCAGCCACCACCACCACCACCACCACCAGAACCTACCCCCTCCTCTTGCGACCCTCTTTGGCTTTCACTGCTACCACTGCCATTCTCAGGGTTCGTTTCACCACCTCATATTCTCTTTTTGAAAAGCATTAACTAATCGGCAACATCGCAAACTCTCAACCGCAAAACCATCGATATTTTGCAAAAACCCGCGCAGAACCTGTCGATGTCGATGTGGTCTGAACCTTAAGCCTGACCCCGCCGGCGTCGCCCAGGTCAGGCGCGGCGTTGTGCGTCGTCGCCGTGTTCCTTCCGCTGCATTTACCCCTTCCGCCGTGATGCTCCGGCTGCGCTGCTGCTGCGTGGACTTGGCGCGCCAAGCAGAGTCCTGGGGGGCGCTTCCAGCAGAGCGGGGTGCTGCAGGAGGCAGCCCTGCGGCCCTCATATAACGCGCGCCCACGACGACGACACGGTCCGCGTGGCATTTTGACAGGCGTCGTGTGTGCATGATTCGCCCCCCCCTCCCCTCTTCCCCTCGACGCCCGCGCGCAATTTAAACGACCCCCTTTTCACCCCCTCCCCTCCACCCTTTCCCCCTCATATTCTCCCCGCTGCTTCATCCGCGGCCACTGCCCTCCTTTCCGTTCTCGACGGATTCCTCGCATTTCGCAGTACGTAATTACTCCGTGCTGGGGTGACGGCCCGCCCGCCCGGGCCCTTCGGGGGTCCCGTAGGGGGTCCCTTCGGGTCGGGGGTGCCTTCGGGGATCCCTTCGGGGAGGCACCGAGGCCCTGCAGGGCCCTCGAGCGCACTTGTACCCAGAGGGTTACTCTCCATCAATTAGCTTATCTACGATGAGTAGTGTTGGTTCTGTGTTCAACAGCAGCGGTCGGCAGCAGCCCTCGGGCAAGGGATGGGGGGGCTTCACCGAGCTCATCCATACCAACGAAAGAGACAAAAAAAAAGATAGCTGAGGATATAAAGTAGCGAAGTTTAGCCACACCTAAACGTTTCGTTGTACACCGAATGAAAAATAAAATAGAATAAATCAAACCCGGTGTAGTGTGATTATCGAACAACTTTGTCCTTGCTTTGCTAAATGTCGCTTAATATTTCATGTCGCGTTCTGCCAGACGAAGGACGACGGCTCGAAGGAGCTCCGACTAAAATATGACAACAATTTGTTTCATTTAATGAAGTGGCGGCTGGATTGAAAGATGACGCTTCCAGCCACACCGTTTGTTGGTGTTTTACTCGTTCATCGCCATTTCAGAGTTGCTTGCCGAGTTGCATTAAAATAGGGCTAAAGGTGCTCTAATACTGCTTTCTATCACAGTAGGCAGTAGTAAGTGTCGAAAAGACACTAAAATGAGGTGGGCGCGTCTTGTTCTTACCTTGAGCGTGCCCGTGCGGGGGTCGTACACCTTCACAGAGTCTCTGTCTCGGCATTGCGAGTGGATCTGCACGTTGGTCTGCATGCCGAACCTGTGCGGGGCGCATCGAGTTTTAGCAGTGACAGAGATTGCCTACGACGGCAAAATAGCAGGAATCGTGCACTCCTCTGCGCTTAATAGTGGGAGAAAGTAACAGATGAAACTGTAAACGTTCGTTGCAATTTGTAACATTTGCAACAAACTGTAACTATCGTGATGACAACAGACATAACCTACACAATTTAAATTTATCCAAATTTCTGCCTGTTTGTTTCCTTTTGCCGGTGCACCCTCTCTCGCTCTCACCTGCTCGAAGGCGCCCTCGCGCCCGGTGGGAGATTTCGGCCGCTGGCGACGGAAAAACACAACACGACGCGGGCGGGGAGCACGGAGCAGGCTGGGGATCGGAACTACCGGCGGCCGCGTCGCAAGGCGTCGCACTGGGTGCTCTACTCACCGCCCCCTCCCCCCGCCCCCCCCCTCTCTCCCTTGCTCTCTCTCGCCCCCCCCCCTCCTTCACCTCTCCTCAAACTCTCCACCACTCTCCTCCACCCTGTCCCGTCACGTCCGTACCAACAATCCGCACAGACCAGCCCCCTCCCTCTCAACCCCCCATTCCTTTTCCCAAATCACCCCCCCACCCCCTCCCCGCCTTTCCCGCCAAACATGGTAGCCCTCCCTTCGGGATGGGTGAGAGCGAGAGGCGAAGGACCCATTGGAGAGGGGGGAGGGGGGGTACGCAGCGCCAGTGCCTCAACTTATCAATACTGGGAAAATGTTTGCATTGCCAACTGTTTTGTTCGTGGTAACTTTTAGC